CATGTTTTTCAAACGCTACACCGGCATCTTACTCCGACCTGCATTTTTTTCCTCGTTTGCACCGAACAGGCTGCTTGGCACTTTTGAGCTTGTGAATATGTGCCCTTCCTGCAAGAATGGCGATGCTGAGAGACACCGTAAGGATCTGCAACTTGTTGATCGAATTGCCATGCCTTGGCGACACATCCTTGGAGCGGGCGACTGTAGGTCTAGCAGTAGCCACAAAGAACAGTTGTATTCAAAACTTATCCAAGTTGTTTGTGTTGACGTAGGGCTCTTTAGGCCCGGGTTGCGTGTTTCACTGATGTTTTTCTTGAATACAAGCAACATTTGGTTTGATTTGACCGAGGTGTGTGAGTATTCCACACCCACTGAACCTCCATGGGCCACGGCTCAGACTTCTGGGTGAAGAGCTGGCAGCGGCACTGGTGAAGCTTCAGGACCGAGAAAGTGAAGCCCGATGGGGCGTGCTGATAGGATGCAAGTAAGATCAAGAAGTAAAATCAAGACATAGCAAGATTTGCAGGATCTGGGTTTGAGGGTGTGTCCGTCTCTCCCTGATGAAAGATTTTGTGAGAGCTCGAGGTGGCACCTGAGAGAGAAGCCATTGAACCAAGGGTTAGACCCAGGGGGCAAAATGTGGATGGACGATTCTGACTCTGCTGATGATGCACATGCAAACAGCAAGCACCCTACAACACCAGCAATTCCAACATGTGCGGACACAGTCTCCTTCGCAACAAGCTTGCAGCACCTCACCAGCTCACCCACAGCTCTGCAAGATTCCCTCGCGAAGCCTACCTTGCAACGTTGGATACTGATGGATGCTGTCCTTTCTGTTGTTGTTTTAAGTTTCAATCATTTGTTGGATTGATGCTGATGATGGTTGCAGTCATTGGTTAAGGCACTATTCTCTACATAGCAAGCATTTTTGGAGCTAGGCAAACCACTTATTCAGCAAATGATGAACGATCATGTTGCTTGCACTGAACTGCAGGAGCCCCTGCAAGATAGCGATAGCGAGCCGGGCGAGGAGACGTGGTCCTCGCGTGTGGAGGTCTTGGACGGACGAGATGAGAAAAGCACCGTGGCATCTTTGTTCTTGAGAGATCCCGGCAGACGTGATGAGATGTTCACCGTGTCTCATGTGGGAGGTTCCGGCGATGAAGTCCGGTGTGCAAACAGACGACACAAAGTGCGTGGATCGTGGGTGGACGGTCAGAAACCCATGTTCGACCATTCCAGGAGGATGCAGATGATGCTGAAGGTGCTGGGTGAAAGCCTACTAGAAGGGGTTTGCTCCACGATGGGACATCAGACAAGACACTTTTAGTGTACTGGATTAGTTGGGACGAACGTGAAAAGTGTGTGGTTCGTCTCCCAACATCTCAATCTGAAGGAAGTGTCGCTGATCGCTGAAGCTGAAGTTCTTTGCGTTTGTTCGATGCGAATTTGGGGCACAAGGCCATAAAGATGTTTGATCTCTTCACTCGTTCTAGGAAAAGGCATTCGTCAATGTGATGACAAATCGCAGGCGAGGTCATCAACGGTGCAGAGGTCTGGCGCACGAACTCGTGGAAAGGCTCATTGTTCTTGGCCGAAAGTGAGGGTGTGTACTTTATTGTTGGGTGACCCCATGTGACCCCCAAACCAATGGGTTTTTTGGAGGCCATTGCTAGTAGGTTGGAGATCATGGCCAGTAGGTTAGAGGCTAACGCCAGTAAGTTGGAAGCCAACACCAATAGGTTGGAGGCCATCGCCAGTAGGTGGGAGGCAATCGCTAGTAGTAGTAGGTTGGAGGCCATCGCCAGTTGGAGGCCATCGCCACTAAGTTCAAAGCCATTGTTCTTTGAAATCTTGTTCTTACAGTTTTTTTCCCTCAGGCCTTGGAGTCGGCTTGCACGGGGCAGCTCTTCGAGCGACTGGGCATGGGAACGGACATGGGAACGGGTCACCCAGGATGAGATGGGAGGTTTGCCTAGACTCTAGACTCTAGACCATTCGAGACCTATGGGGTGGTTTGCTCATGTTTGCTCGGCACGTGCCTTTTCTAGAGCTTTTGGGCGGGGCTTTAAGAGAGTTGGACTGAGGCCTCCCTAAAAACGTTGATTGAACATGTCAATGTGGAGAGCCGTTGTTGTTTGTTGGTCCCCACAAAAAAGAACGAGGACCGCGAATGCAAGTTGATTGGTGTGGAGACACAGCTGGCAGGACGTGGAGGTTTTGCGGATCAAGAACCCTTGTCCCAAAGCAATGTCACAGGGGAACAGCAACAGCCACGAGTTGCAACATACTACAGCATCGGGGTATGCCCGACCCGCTTTGAGGAATGTCATGGGCACGGCATTGTGTGAGGCGAGGTCGACCTGACACGTCACGAGTTCGACCTTCGACGTTGCAGTGAATCCCCACACGAACGCCTCATAAAGCTAGTAGTAACAGGTGCATCGCTAGTAGTAACCAGTGCCTTACTAGTAGTAACAAGAAGCGAACGTAGAAACAATAAGCTTTCGTAGCGAACATTGCTCCGTTCGTAAGGCCAGGACTCCCCCGTTCGTTTTCGCGTCCGATCGCTCCTAATTAGTAGCGATGCCAGGAGCCCCGTTCGTAGCGAACCTTGTTTCTGGTGTTGTATTTTGTTGCTCTGCAAGCACACCTTTCTTGCGTTGCCAGAGGTTAAACGAAGTGAATGCCGCATTGTTCAGTTCAGCCTTGGAGGCCTTGGCCTTCATCAACCACTCTTGCCTACCCAACTGCCGAGTAGAATTTGCTTCAGGGTGGGACTTCCGCTGATCGCTTTGCACCTCGATCATGTCACCATAAACAACATTGAGAGCTACATGGGCTGTTTGGCAGGGAAAGGAGACAGACGAACACCAGTTGTTGGGGTCATCCATTCAGAGACTAGACAAACCATGGAGAGAGAGAGAGAGAGAGAGAGAGCTGGTGCTTTCGTCCTGCCAAAGCCCTCACTTTGCCTCTCAACACGGTCCTCAAGATCGCCCTCCCAGAATGGTTACAATGATGGATATCAAACTCGATATCAAACGCTTTAAACGCTTTCATTAATCAACCGTCTATATATATATATGTCACGTGTTACCACATGAACTCGAGCTTTACACGGAAAAACTGCAACCTACTGAATCGGACATCTCGTGGACAAGCATCTTGGTCAGGAGCCAATTTGAGGCCAATGGGCCTGGGCTGTGGCTCTACTGTGCCGGGCAACCCATACATACCTTGGCAAGGTTGATGTGGAGTTAGAACCAAGCACGCAAACCTGTGGCGGAGCATGACCCGCTGAAGCAGCCCAGAAGAGGACTTTTGCCGACAGCGTGTCGGGTTGTTGACCCACAGCCATGTCACCAGCTGGCCTCCAAATTCCAAGAAGCCACCGACGGTGTGAGGCCTTTTTGCAAAAAATCGTCCACGCCGACGGTGTGAGTTTTGGCTCAAACGCATATTGCAATATTGCACCAGGTGTTCATTGTTGTTTCATTTTGTTCCAAGGTGCCATCGCAAAAGTTGTACCCCTGGGATCCCCTGAGTCCCTTTGGCCAAATTCCACTGTCAAAGCTTCTGTCATTTCACAGGTCTCCCGGCGTCCTTTGGTTCCCGGCGACGAAGTTCTGATGGCCTATGTGCCTGGCCTTTGTGTCAGAGTCAGCTTGACGGTTTGGGATGGGATGGCGTTGCTCCCTATCTGCGCGGAAGAGTAGGTATACTTATACTTGCTAATTTAAGAGAGCCAGAACTGCAGAGTGGTTGGAGGTGGCTTAGAGATTAGGACAAGACATTCGTGTTACACCTTGTTCAAACAAACATGATGGACATGTTAAGGTTGTGCCGTGGGAAGCTTTCATCACTTCCCTGTCCCATGTCAAGGTGCCATCAGTGGTGGGCAAACCCTTGGAGGCCTGACCTGCGGGTCAGAGATGACAGATCAAAGTCAGATCAGTTCAACTGTTCTGTTGAACGAACAAGCGCTGCAAACTCTACTAGTAACCAGGGCATCGCTACCAACGTAACAAGTGCATTACTACTAGTAGCAGTTGAACAGTTGAGTTGAACACCAATTCTTGTTGGACCATGGTTCCAAGCAGCCTTCGTTGCAAATGCCAATGATATCAATGATATCATAATATGATATCCAATGATTTTTAATTATAGTTCTGTGGCCCTCGAAGTTTGCTCGAACAGGTGCGCCAACAGAAGATGAAGAAATTTGGTTTCGAATGCAATTGTTTTGGCCTCAGTTGAGACTTCCACCATGTTTCACCTTTGATTTCGCCAGATACTACTAGTAGCTAAACAAGGGCATGACTACTATCCTATACTATCCTTCTATTCTTTTGCCTTTTTCAAGAGCTCAGCGAGTTCGCCACCGGATGGTCGACGCCGACTCGTTTCAGGTCGAAGCTGTGAGACTGACAAGGCGGATCCGACCGAAAAGCAAAGAATCGTAGTCGATTTAGTGCTTCAAACATGTTCAAACAGCAGAAAGTCGATTCACCCCGTTTTTGTAAGCAGAGATGACAGCAGACATGACAGCAGGGTGAAAAGTTATGCTTATCCGTTTGGATTTGTATGGATTTGTGATATCCTTTTGACTCGATTGAAACAAAGGTGTAGCTGATTGATACAGTGGTAGTCTCAAGCATTTCACATGCCGCTGCTGACCTTGTCAGGTTCTGGAAATGGAAGTCGAGCCACCTACATGATCGCGTGCAAGTGACAAAACAAGGTTCAAGTCAGGGCGACGAGCAGATTCTTTCAGGATGCGCATGGGAGAGGTTGATTGCACGGAGGTCAGGTCTTCAAATGAACACCAAAAGTTAGTAGTTGATTGCGATGATGACAAATGTAACGTGCATCGTGGTTGCGATTTCACGCATCTCACTGGATCGGTTGTGCTGGTGAGAGAGACTGAGCGAGCGCGAGCATGGTCGTGCGAGACATGCCTTCTGGCATTGCTCCTTCCGAACCTGCTCATTTACAGCCCAAAAAAGGGGGAATGGCCAACCGTCCGAAGACCGGACGTGCACATGGCCGCACCGTGGCTGAATATGTACGCGCAGTGACGAGCGACGGGAGCCGTGTTTCAAGTCAGGGGCCAGTTATATATGTTATATATATGTTAATTAGTGACAGCAATCCTCATTTTTGGTTCTTTTGATATGTTTGTTTTTGTCTATTATTGTCTATATCAATCCACGTATATAGCTTGATGATGCTTGATGAGGTTTTTATGTGAAAGAAGATCTTTGTTAGAGAGATCCGTTCTGGCAGTTTGTGCAAGACCCGCTGAGGTTGAGTTTATGAGCAGAGTTGCGAAGTCACCGCAGAGATCTCAGACGTGGTTGGGGATGGCTGGTGTGTTTGTTCTTGGGGGAGAAGGTTACAAGAGCTGCTTGAGCATACTGTCGGCTGAAGCGTTGGTGAACAAACCATGCGGATGTGCCGCTCCGGGGTTATATGCCTGACTGACATGGGACCACCGCATTTGCCTGACTTACATTCCATCTTCGTTGTTGCTGGATTTGGTCTAGCACTTTCTTTAACCGTGGTGAAGGGATGTGATGGTATTGGGAGATACTAGTAGTTGGATAAACCGATAAACCTCACCGCATCTCACCGCCTAGAGCCTGGGGTGATGCTGGGACTGTGTTGGTTCTTTGACCCCAAAGCCTTAGAACCAGCCACCGAGTACCAAGCAGGTTGCCAACCTCACCGTTCACCCCAACTTGCTCGAACGAGGTGCTCTCTCACGGCATGTCCGGCAAGGCCTCACACACGTGACCGTTCGTCGGATGTGCTGTGGTTTTTGTTTAGCAGTTGTTAGCCGATACAGCTGATACACTACAGATCAGTGCTCCTCATGAGAGCGTTAGATGCAGGCGATTTACGCCAGCTGCCTTTGGCCGTGCCAGAATAAGAAGTCAATAGACCTTTCAGTCCTCCTTGCAGTCCGGAATGGACTAAACAGACATGATGAACAGACCCTTGCAAATGTGAAGCGCCTTCCCTGTCCGCTGATCCATCGCCGCGAGACGTTTGGTCCCAGCAGCCGCGACTCCAGCTGCTTCAGCTGCAGCTGAGCCAGTTTGTCATTCGATAACTGTACTGGATCTTTGTTTGGCGTCCAACAATTCCAACGGCCCATGTCTAACTCCTGAAACAGCTGTTGACTTTGGTCATCGTGATCAAACAGTTACAGAAAGAGGCTTTCGCAGGGAATCTTCGACTTGAGACTCGACTTTGGGTTTTTCAGGTGACTTCCGATCCCTGGAACAAGGACGCTACTAGCAACAAAGGGCATCGCTACTAGGAGCAAGGGCGCTACTAGTAGCTCCTGGCCTTACTACTAGGAATCAGAAGCTACTAGTAACTTCCGATCCCTGGTTGTCTTTCTCCTTTTGTTTTACTGGAGTCACCACTCAACGAAGACACTCCTTGCACTCTGGAGGGGACGCCTTCTGGACGTACCTGCTTGGTTGTCGTTCGTAGATACATCCCAACTAAAGTTCAGGCCAGTTAGGTGAGACTTCGAGGTTGGCAGACGCAGCTCTCTCGTTTTTCGGTGAAACTTGGAACTTTGACACATTGGAACCTTTGATGCCTTCGAGACTACATTCCATGGTTGGACACATTCGCACTCGTTTTACCCAGGAACTAGATCACCTAATATCACCATTATCACCTACACATTTGGGCATATGGCATTCAGACTGAACGCAGAATATCGTGAATGTGTGCGTGTATGTCTCCTTTCTTGAGTTGTTCGAGCTCAAACTTAGCAATATCAATTTCCTGTTTGTTCAAGACCCAGCGGTGTCGAGCTTGTCCGGACTATGTTGTGAAGGGAAACGGTGGCAAGCAACATTCCTGCGTGCGGTTCATGGTGCCGAGATTGCGTCTTACTGGTCGTGATGTTTCCACATTTCGAAGGCGTAAGGAGTCTGACTGGGACCAGTGGCCGCCAAGCATTCCGGACAGCCCAGGTCGTTCCCCTTCGCCAACCTCTACGAAGTCGGCCTCTCCCAAGGCAGTGGGACAAGTTCTCGACCGGAGTCCAACAGGCCCCGGACGTGTCAGCTCCGATCCATCGATAGGAAAGCTTGGGAATAAATCTGTCTCGGCTTTTACCGATACCGAGACCGTCCGACTTCAAGTCGTTGAAAGAAAAGAACAGAATTGGAGAGCCGACCGGGCAAGCACTTCTGATCCTCTTGTGGAAGCCAGATTAATGTAGTTTCTAGTGCTGTGTGAGCTTTCACGATGTTCATTATGCATTACCAATGCAGTGCACCTTGTGCACATAGCCAATTTGTTAGAAAAACAAATCAAGGTTTCTATAGTGTTCTTAAGAATGGGCGCGGCAGCTTCCAACTACATAGAGGTACATACAGTAAAATTCCGCTGACGATATTCATGGCACTCACAGTTCTGCCCTCTCAGGCAACTCCAAACCTGACCTCCGAAGGAGTCAGCCTGATACCCAGAGTGGAGTACAGAGCGGCTTTCACTCAGTTTGATTCGGCCAAGAGGGATCTCCGGTGTATTCACTGGTTCGCTGATCGCACTGCTTGGCCTGGAGCTTCTTGGGACAAGATCTGGCAGAGACAATGGGACCTTTCTGGGAACATTTCGGGAAGCTCCCGTTGACTGAAGTCTTATTGAAGCCAGTTCCTGAATTCGGCGGAATCCTCAGCGCCCCAAGGTCCAGGAAGTCCAAAGGCCAAGGCATCGCCGGAGAAGTCCAAGGCGCAAGTTCCACGGGTCAGGGCGTTCCACGAGTGCAAGGTGGTGTGTTAGGGCAGTGTGGGGTGAAAACCTGGGTGTCCTCCAAGTGCATTGGGTGAGTGTATCTGCATGTCTCCAATGGTCAACATGCCTAATTTTTGCTTCTTGACTTGAAATGTTCACTTGGATATTTAGAGCATCATGAATCATGTGCGACGATTTTGCTGCTTAGTCTACCAAGGGCATCCAAGGGCTGCTCAATGATATCGAGCATCATTCATGATATTTGCAGTGCTCAAAGAAGCCGGGCTCATGGAAACCTCGCGCATTTTTCTTCAAACCATGCTCCTGCGAAGGGCCCTTGTTGTTAGTCATCATTTTGGTTGCAGAGTCCTGGCTTGTCGTCATCTTCATCTTGCCGTAGGAAAAGACCAAGGACAAGACAGAGAAGAACAAGGGAGGAAAAAGTCAGGGTGCCTGAGATTGCCTCCGCTTGCACGTAGCCCTACAGACTGTGCCGAGTCGACTTGCGCATCTCCTCATAAATGGATGCTTTCTCATCCCATTGATGCAGCCTTCATCAGGAAGGACAGGATGCTGACGATACCGATTGTGTTATCAACCTGTCGTGTTCTTCGACAATGTGCCAATCGAACAAAGCTTGGATGCCTGCCAAGGTCAAGGCAATCCTGGCAAAGACAAGAAACCTGGGAAGCCAACTGGAGAAGAGTTTTATTCTGCCAAGTGCTGAGACGCTAGATCGGCGACAGTATTTGACACTGCTTGAGCCGCACCACAACAGATCACACAAGGATGACATGGTGGAAAGGCAGATCGATTGAGATTCGAATTGAGATGTTGCCTTTTTTTGCCACATGATTTGCATTCGGGACTTTGCACATGATTTGGGCTGAGTCTATCCCTGCGGGTACTCCATTCGCCAAACTGGGCAGCCTCAAGGATGTGGCCCGGGCCTCCGGACTCAGAGTTGTGACACCCAGGATGGACACCGATCCATTCACTTAGCAAAAGGCTAAACCTAAAGGAAGTTGGAGCCCATCGCTCTTAGGGTGGAGGCCATCGCTACAGGGTGGATGCCATCACTCTTAATAGGTTGGAGGGCCATTGCTATTAGGTTCCTTTTGCTATTGCACAAATTGTGCATATTGTCCATGCACGGGTGTTCAGGCCTCCCTCTGGTTACGGTTGAAAATCAAACGGGGTGGCATTGGTCGCAGAGCGCTGCCCGTCCTCAGGCAGCGGACCCTGAGGCCTTTCCAGAGCTTCTTGTACAGAAGTTGGAACTGTTGGAGTCTCAGAAGCAGCGGCTTTTCAACCGAGCTAGCCGGTACGGCCCGTACGGCAGCACATCTCGTGCAAGCACGTTGCTTTGAAGGATGTTCATTGACTGTGTTTTGTATTGTTTTGTTATTTGAGACTTGCGAATCTGAACGGGTAACAGATCACAACAAAGCGAGCGCCACACAACACCAACACTCGCCAAGCAAAACGGCCAAACACGGGTCAAACACACAAAAGCATAACCGCTCAAATCAAACTCACTCCACCAATTAGATCGCAAAGGCTTCAAATCCATAAGAGGCTACTGATATGGTTGAGTTCAAGTCACTACACCAAGCAAAGTTGCGTGCCGTTTGGCATGTGTTTCGTCCGGCTCGTTCTCCTTCGCATGAAGCTTCTCTGGCAAAGTGCTTGGGGTTGCTGTGGAACACGTCCAACTTCCACACTTGATCTACGACCAGTGGGATGTTACAACATGCTACAACCATCCAGAAAATGGGATCCTGCACAATGGACACTAACATCTTACAAGCTCATCATAGCTCATCTAACCATCCTCCTACCGAGTTCTACCAGGTGAGCTCGCCGAGTTCGCTCCCTTAGAATCCACCAGATGATCGGACGCCAGCCAAGCAGGCACCGAACTCTGCGAACATCTGTTAAATCTGGAGAGAACAAACATCGAAGAAGCCAGCGTTCCAGTTGGTACCGTGAAAACCCAGGTGCATGCAGGTGTACAACTTCCAAAAAGATGACTGCATGTCCGGCAGCTCATTTCCGCCGTCCAGACTTTTCGAGCCAAGTTCCATCAAGTTCCTTGTTCGTTCGCAGCTAGCAGCTGGTGTGTTCAGTGCAAGATTTGGACCAGCTTTCATACTGGTTTATACCTCACGCCTCACATTGACATCCAGATTGAAAAAGACGCAAGGACTCATCGAGAAAGACTCGTTTTTCCCTCAAGAATCCAAGAATGACTTCCAAGTCTAAGTCTAGGAAAAGCCTCCACACCCGTCTAGGCCGGAGAAGGAGGGGAAGCGCTTCACCCTTCTGGAGATCCTGCATTATTGGCCCAGAGCCTCAGAGAGCCTCAGAGTCCGATTGGAAGGGCCTCCCTCAGTGTCCCACGGTTCCCGAATTTCTGGGTCGGAGTAAGAGCGAAGAGCTGTTTGTCCTTACAAAGAATTAGACGGATATAAACTATGTTGGATTCCCATGTTTGTCCTTCAAGCTATAAACTTGGTGCATGTCAGCATGGCTTGGTTCTTGTACATCTCGTCATTGGGTCATGCAGTATCCAAGTTGCATCACTGCTGATTGAAAGTTGCATCACTGCTGACTGAGTTGTAGACAGGTGACGATTAATAAAAGCCTCCTACCGGAATGGCTTTATATCTCCACATAGGGGGTTTATTCATCAACCGTCTACCTTGTTGTGGGGGACACTGTGTACACTGCGTACACAGCATATGTGACTGACACCGATGGCGGAAGAGACAATGGTTGCCAGGCCAAGCATTGAGAAGGAGGAGGTGAGCAAGACCAGAAGCAACAAAAAGCTACTTGGCATGATTCTGGCAGGGAGAAAGAGCAGATTGGTCAGAATGGAAGTGTCGAAATTTAAAGTTGCATGAACAGCCATTTAGAGTTTGGCAAATGCCAGTATCAGCTTACAAGACTTAGATGGTGCAAGATGGAGAGACCTCAACTTGGCACTCAATAGCAGTGCCATTCCCGAGAGTGCCTTCCAAGATCAAGCGTGTTGCTTTGCCCTTTGACTCAGAAACTATGTTCCTGCGCGAAGGAGGGAGGATGTTCCACGAAAGGTTTGCCGAATGGAACTTTAGTGGGGTGCGGGCAAATGCCTGTTTGTCCAATTACGAGCAGATGCCCGTGTCGCACCCGTTCTGACTGAGAGCTTGACTGACCTGTTCTGATAATTGTATATTCACATACAGGGGAACTCAGATTCTTAGCCAAGTCCAAGAATCCATCAGACCAACTCTTTGCAGCTTGGAGCAAGTCTTTCAGCGACCGACCAGGTCACCTGCAATAAGTTTGGACCTCAAAGCCTTGGCCTGCAAAAGAGTCCGAGTAACCATAACGATGATGATCCAACAGTGACAAACCAAGAGAAACCTTCTATGAATCTCAATGACATATCCCTTATTTTGAGCTTGATGATATCTCCAGCGCGGCTTCGCTGGCTCCGAGGTGCTGATGACGCCGTGAACTCCTCCACTGGTCCTTTGTTCAGCAGCGCAGGCACTGAATCATCGGAAGTCTCAGCGAAGGCGTGCGGAGTCTCAGCCTGCCACGCTAGCTATGTCTGGGTAGAAGGGTAAGGACAGCTAGGGCCTAGGGACAGGACAGGGCGGCCGGGTGTTTTTCAAGCTTTGTCTTACATCTGTGTTTTTGGCATCATTCTGCATTCCGGATCGCCCAGTTCTTTGATGCTGCTCCCAACGAACAGACTGTGGCGTTGAGGCTCACCACACCCGTGCTGGCTGCAGCCGCCATGTTCTGAGAGATGGAGAAGAGCTCTAACATAGTCACTCTTTTTGAAGGATTTGGGCACAAACTGGAGTACTCCCAAACCCTGGTAGGTTGACATTCCTTTCAGGTTGACATTCTGTTTGCTTTGATGGGTCAACCAAGGTCCGGTGTTGACCCACGGCCAGTTGTTTTTGCCTTTTTTTGGCATGCAGCCATTGCTGGTCTTAGGTCAAGGTGGTGCGAGCCAATGCCTTTCGAAGCATGATGCACAAAGAACGTGTGCAGCTGAGTCGGCATCAAGATCTAAATGTCAGTGAAAGGTCTACTCCGTGGCATGGAAAAGCCACTAAGTTCTGACTTGAACAACCGCATGATGAGCACAGTGACCCCAACACATGATCCACGTGATGTCGAAAGTCTCGCGAGATCATAAACGGCCTGGTATCGGCAAGTCTGACCAGCTGGTGTTGCTTGGTCGGACTTGGTATTCAAGAAGAACTTTTGGTTAGGAACTCCCATGGATCTTCTGGATGGTGATGATGATGAGCCATTATTAGAGCCAGTGTGGGAGCTCAACGACGACCTGCGGATACCTGCGGCCCGTTTCGGAGCTGCGGAGTTCAAGTAACGCGGTGTGCAGACCCATGGATACTTACGGATAGTTGTTTCATCCCCATGCCCATATTTCCTCTATGAAATCAGAAGCGACCCCCCTGAGACGGTTGGGTTCCTAATTTTATAGAGGATTGGTTCCTACAGCAGTGTCAGAAAGAAAAAGTCGTGAACATATTTTTGCTGCCAGTTTCCGAAAGAAGGCAAACATATCTATTGTAAGTTCAAAACCTTGTAGTTCAGGCTTCCTGCACACAGACATCTGACATGGGGTCCTAGTGGAACTATTTAGAATCTGAAGGGAGGTAGGCCACTTTATAGCTGTAAAATCTGTTCTTGGACCCCCACCCTGTATCGACACCGGGGAGTTGTTTCTGAGGAGGGTGAAGGGATGTGGTTCGGGGCCGCCATCAGTAAGTAAGCTGTGGTTCTTGTGGCTTGGTTCCAAAATGCTTATGGCTCGGGGTCTCTCTTTGGCGCTTTCGGGGTAGGCCACACCGATTCTTGCTCACATCTCTAAGACTTGGCCACACCTGGAACTGGTCTATGAGCTGCTGATGAAAATTATTTCAGCCAAGGCCGGGACATTCGTCCGCGGGACGGCCAACGGACGATCGGTTAGTCGGACGAGTCGGCTCCGCTCCCGAACGTTTCCCGTTTCCCGTTTCCCACGGAGGGTCGCCCAATGGGCCAGTGTTGCATCCAAGAAGCGAAGAAGGTTTGTGCCAAAGCAGATGCGGCCGCCGACTTCTGCTTGTTTGGCATGAATTTGAATGAGTCTTGGAGACGTTTTGTATCCTTTCAACAGCCAGGATGTGGACTACAGCGCTGCACAGAGTGCGGGCCTTGCGAGGGCCCTCAGACATTGAGCCAGGAAATCAGATAAATACAGCATTGACATATTGACAAACGTGCTTCAACAAAGGGCATTGCTACTAGGAACAAGACCGCTACTAGGGGCTCCTGGGGCCTTACTACTAGTAGCAAGAATCAAGAAGCCACTAGTAGCAAGGACGCTACTAGGCTGGAGGCAAAATGCATCATGATGACCCTTGGCTTGACGGGACGCACGTTGGAAAAGACCAACGAATTCAGTTGCCGTTTGGGAACTCTTGTTTACAGGTTTTGAAGTAACCAATCTGAAGAAGCTATAGCCGCTGAAGCGCTACTGTAGCGTAAAACATCGTAAAACTAGACTTCACACTGAGAATCAGAACTCAAGCATCGGATGATGTATGATTATAGTAGCGTCCGATCGCTCCTTCCTTGCTCCTAATATAAAAATATTTAAGAGGCTTACGCCTGACAGCCGGGCGCCGGCCAAGCAGGGAGAGGGTGTGTTTAGAGAGAAGGAGAGAGACAGAGAACTCAACCGTAAGATCCAAAAAAGCTGCGTAAATTGGGTGTGTGTGGGGATGGGTTCTCTTTCTCTTTCTCTCGCGCTGTCACTTGGTCTTTGTCTTTTTTATTCTCTCTTGTCCCGATGTGAGAGAGGGAGGAAAGCGTGTGAGAGAGGGAGGAAAGCGTATAGGAGCACCGAAGGCGAAACGCAGCCGGCCGACTGAGAGCTGGTGGCTCTCGGAGAGAAAAGCTGGAGCAGCTAGACAAAGCCTGTTGCTCTACGCTGGTCAAAGATCCAACTATGGATTTTGGAGGGATTCACAGTTGTCCCGAGACTGGATTGGATCAGCGGGCGGTAGACAACGTCCGCTATAGGATCGAGAAGCGCGACGAAGAGCTGGTCGGACCTAGACTGCGAGAAGCAGCTTTTGGTTCACAGAGCGGAAGGCGGAGACAGCAGCACCAATGGAGCTGGTGTCCACGGAGCTGGTCGGAGGGGAGGAAAACGAAAAAAAGAAAGACACTGACTTGGAGAACCGAAGCGAATTGGGATGACTGGGATGGCGACGCAGAGGTTCGCCTTGTGGAACTCAAGACTGACCTGATCCTTCTCGAAAGTGGGAAAGTCTTCAGTCGGTGGGGGGCCGAACAACCCCCCCCGTGCAAGACGGGGACCGGGACTGCGGGCAGCCCGGTAGCAGCCTTCTCGAGAAGGGGGCTGACCGTCCCGGGAGCGTCCTTCTCGAGAAGGGGGCTGACCGCCCGGGCGTATACCTGCTATACGCCGAAGTCGGGAGAGCCGTCTTGCACATGTCCTGCCATCCCGTCTCTCTCTCTCTCTCTCTCTGTCTCTCTCTCTCTCTCTCTCTCTCTCTCTCTCTCTCTCCTCTCTCCCTCCGCTCTCTCTGTCTGTCTCTGTCTCTGTAGTCTCTGTCTCTGTCTTCTCTGTAGTCACTGTCTCTGTCTTCGCTGTCTCTCTTTCTCTCTCTCTCTCTCGCTGTCTCCCTTTCTCTCTCTCTCTCTCTGTCTCTCTCTCTCTCTCTCTCGCTGTCTCCCTCTCTCTCTCTCTCTCTCTCTCTTTTTGAGACTGTGTGAGGCCTATGTTGCCACATCTTGAGGCAGTCTGGGCCCAGTTAAGACTGTGTGAGGCCTGTTGCCACATCTTGAGGCAATCTGGGCCCGCCTAGGGGCTATGTTTCCCATATGTGAGACCTAGGTCGGGTCATCTTGCGGCTATGTGTACCATAGGCTGGGACTAGGTGAGGTCCTCTTGAAGGCCTCTTTCAGATCATCTCGGAGCACATGTTCCGCCTTTGCTGTTGACGTGTGCCCAACGCCCACGAAATGTCGATTAAGCTTGAGCAAAGTTAAGCTATCTGGTGCGCATCTTGGCCCTCGGTTGGGCCAAGTTGCGCCCACGTGGTCTATGTTGGGCACATCTTGGGCCCAAGTTGAGCCTATGTTGGGCCTAGGTCGGCCTATGTTAGGTCTATGTTGGCCTAGGTTAGGCCTATGTTCGGCCTATGTTGGCGTATGTTGGCCCCATGTTGGCCTATGTTGGCCCTATGTTGAGCCATCTTGGGGGCTATGTTGGGCATATGTTGGGGATATGTTGGCTATCTTGGGCCTATGTTGGAGATATGTTAGGAAACTTATGTGCCCAACACCAACGAAATGTCGATTAAGCCTGTCCGCGCGGCACGCATAACCGACGCCACGGGCGCCCAGTCGTGGACGCCGAAGGCCACGAAACACTGTAAAAAACGATGTTTTTGAACCTTTTTCGAACATCCTGCACAAGAACATAAAAATTACACAAAAATCTGTCGACACGCTTCGGGCGGGGGTATACACGCGGTCCAACAAAAGGGTCGGCGGCAGGGGCGGCCAGCGTATATAACCTTCAGTTACCACCGAAGGCCTCCGGCAAGGACACGGGCCCGTGGCCGGCGCCCGGATTGTAAGGGCTTCGCCCGGGTGCCGCCGACCCCTTTTCAAGAGGAGTGTAGCATGTGTAACTGAAGGCGTTAGTGTCGTTCCGGTGGTTGCCCGTCTGCGGAAAGAAGATGGGTGTTCTAGCCTTAGGCGTGGCCTCGGACAGGCTAACTGTGGCCTGTGCTAAAGCCCACAAAGGTGGAGATGCCAAGGCCAATAAGGTTGCACTCTGCGAGGCGCCGGGAAGCGTCTGAGGGGGGCCGTCGCCTTCGGAAGCCTAGAAAAGAAGAGGCTGGCCTCGGCTGCTAGCACCGTACGTGGCAGCCCAGGCCATGCCAAGGCTGCGTGGCCGCGGACAGGGTAGCTGTGGCCTGTGCTAAAGCCCACAAAGGTGGAGATGCCAATGCCAAGGTTGCACCCTGCGCTTCGGAAGCCTAGAAAAGAAGAGGGTGGCCTCGGCGGTTAGCATCGTATGTGGCAGTTCGGGCCATGCCAAGGCTGCGTGGCCTCGCACAGGCTAGCTGTGGGCCCGTGGGTGAAGAGAAGAGGCAGGCTTCGGACAGGCCACAGACAGGCCGGGGCAGGCCTGCCGGCTGCCGAGGAGCGTTTGAGGGCCGGGCCCGTGGGTGTCTAACGTTGCCTTCGGAAGCCCATAGAAAAAGCTTTGTGGGCCAAGCTGCGGCCTGCAGAAACGTTTGCGGGCGGGGCCCGTGGGTGAAGAGAAGAGGCA